TGGCAGTTAGAACAACAAGAGAAAAAACATTGACCAGGGAGAAGGTTTTGAGGGAGCGGAGCACCGGGCCACGCACAGAGCAGAGAATCTGAGCATCTGAAAGGCGATTATGGCTCAGGAGTCCAGGAAGGAGCCAGGATGGGCTGCAGGCAGGAGAACCAGGAGTGTGGTTCCGTGAAGGCTGAGGCTGGTGCGAACAAAGGAGAGAGGGACACAGAAGGGCCAGGAAGGACGTGTGGAAAGGGTCGCCGGAGGCTATCAAGGACATGGGGAGGGGGCCACAGATGACACTCTCACAACACCAGGTTCAGGGGGGATGGAAGAGGAGGGGGTTTACAGGTGGAGGGAGGCGGCCAGCACTGCAGGAGATGAAGGATCCAGGAAGGAGGAGAGGCAGTCAGAGGAACCACAGCGGAGGCACTGAGGGGCAGCAGGGTCCGGGAGAGAAATGGGGGGTTACCCTGGACCAGGAGGAGAACTGTGTCCTCTGAACCAGAGGAGCAGAAGACTAGGGTAGAGTGAGAAGTGGTTAGAGGTCAGAGGCACCCTCACTCCTGACACCTCAGTGGACTCACTGGGGAGGGGTGTGGAGAGGGTGGGGACGTCTGCAACGGCCTCAGAGAAAAACAGGAGCAGGAAGGCAGGAGACCCGGATGCGGGGCGCTGAGCAGGAGGGCTGCCTGCTTGCGGCAGCAACAGCCTCAGGGCAGCTCATTTCTCCATGGTGCAGGGTGGAGACACCAGATGTAGGGCTGGTTGAGGGTTAGGATTTTGCTGGACAGGTTTGGCAGAAGGACAGGATATAAAGCACTTGAAGATGTTGGTGGAGATGCCCCCTGCAATGAGTGACGGCTGTCTTCACCCACCCATCCTTTCCACCCAAATCTGGGAAGCAAGTGAAGCCAGAAAACGGCTCAGACTCGGGAAAATTGATGGAGATCCAGGAATGGAAATATGAGCGGGGTTGGCAAGGAGGTGCCAGGGAACAGGGGCAACTGAGGGGTGAGGGTTGGCAGAGAGCGGAACGTACGGTCAGCGGTGTGGGGCAGAAATGTGGCGGAGGTGAATGCCAGTGTGGACGAGGGCTGGCGGTCACGTGGGTCCTCCGCGTGGATGGAGAAGTTATCCAAGATGGCAGCAGGGTCTGGGGGCGAGAGGAAGACGTACAGCTGTGCGGACAGAGGGGCTCCAGCCCCGCCCAGACTGAGTGGGGAAGGAGAGGCCAGGAGGAGGCAGAATTAAGGTTTGGGAAGCATATCAACCAGGCTCCCCAACAGATGATACATGGGGCACGTGAGTCAGCGGCCCTACTTGAGAGAGATGCAGAGGAGACAGCATCCTAGGGTGGGCGAGCTTCTGAATCTCCTGGACCAGACGACAGACACCCCCGGGTCTTCGTTTTGTCTTCCTACCAGCACCCACTACAGTGCCCTGTACAAAGAACTCCGTAAACATTTGAAGGATAAACAAACGTATTTTCTACTTTTGTTTCTAATGGAAGTAAATACAGTCGCTCACACATTTAGGCTAATTGGAGGAGAAAGGCCTATTTGAATTCGTAGGGAGTCTTAATAGAATATATTTTAAAAAACAAGGTTTTATTACATTCAAATACCCACAATAACACTTCTTAATCAGAGAGTTGCTGAAAGGTTCTTGAAATCCTGTTTTAACGAACAGGAAAAAATTATTTGTATTTGGCACTCTATTAGTTTATAGGAAAATGTGTACCACGAAAATGACTGAATACATCATCTCAGCAGGTGAACATCTCCCTCCTTGTAAAATTATTTATATAATTAATTTCCACAGAAATCCCTCTTTTCTTAGATTGTGAAACACATGTATCCAAATTAGCCCACATTAGGAAGTAGCGATTTGAAATGAACAACATAGATTTAGATTATGCCAACATCAGAACGACTCCCGGAAACCACGCGTGTCCACGGCCAAGTTTAGGAGCAGCAGAGGGAAGGGCTCCCGCTGCGTGAGCGCCTTCCAAGCGCATCTTTCTAATCTCACCTTGAGCTCAAGTATTCTGCTGCTCATTAAGAAGGCGGCAATTTCTGGTTATTTTTTTTTTCTCCTTTCAGTGAAAACTTATCTGGTTTTTGTAACAAGAAACCAGGGAACACTCTGGCTCCTGGGTCAGTGGCTGAGACCTTCGAAGGCAAAGCATTTAGGCTTTCCGAAAAAATACCTACACACACATTTCCGTCGGGCAGATTACAGACATTCTATTTCACAGATTCCACTCAAACTTAAACTCTTAACCAGAATCTACCGACAGAAGACGAAAGCCTGCTCTGTGACACGTGCACAGGAGGCCTGAGAAATGGGCCAAAGGGCTGTACTGATCGGAGAGC